GCAGCAATCGTTCCGAGCTCTTTGAAATGGCATCGTAAGGTTAGAGCCCCGCACAGATCAAGCAAATTTTCTTGAAATAATGGGAAGAGCAGCTGAGCGATACCGAACGATAAGCTGTGCGCACACAAACATCACGATTCGATGAAGATTGTCGTCGGTGATGTGACTACCTGATATAACCTGCATTCCTCTTGTGGGTTAACTGAAAAGCAGAGGCGAAAAAAGATGCCCATATACAAAAAGAGGGGGTCGATGTGTTTTATTTAAGATAAATAAGAAAAGCAATGCTGTCTCAGTGGTCGATATTAGCATGTTCGTCACTTTCAGTCCGGCAAAGGATGCCACTGCCATACTGTTCAACTCTTGTCAAGTGACCCTGATCGGGCCAGCATGGTGAGACGAGATCTGCCTTTAGTCTTGTTGTATGTTTGCACGGTTCAGTAGAATAAATGGCAAAATCATAGCTACTTCATATAAGACACTTCAGATTAGATAGTGGATTTGTATAAGATGGCCTTGTCTTCTTCTACCCAGCAGCCTGTCGAAACCTGCGAAGCTACTTGTCTCCTAACTCCGATCGGCCAGCGGCTATGGACAATCCGCTCCAAGGTCATTGTGCTATCACCCTTAATAAAAGCTATGCAGCCGATAGGGTCAGGTAATCCAACATAGTGGAATTGTGATTCGTATTAACAGCACGAAAGGTGTACTTCCGATTCAAAACAGACCTAGCTTATACTTCTTCTGTCATTTCGGAGTAATAGTGTTCGCAAATATTTTTTCCTAGAATAAATCTAACACATGTAGATTCGTTAGAACATCAAAACTTACCTGTTGGTCCTAATTTCCAAAGCACGCTTGCCTGCATAATAATGTAACTCGAATATCAAATAACTACGATTCATTGTGCTACTAAAATTCGCATAGATGCTCCAAAAACTAAGCGGACATTCCTCTGTCCGTTTTCTTAGGGTTTCTGTGACATGCAGGCTGGACGCAGCTTCCTTCAGACACGGATTCGATTGTTCCTGCGTTGTACTCTTTTACCAGACGCAATCTATGGGGAACAAATGGCTGAAGGCTCTTGTACTTACTTTCCTAATTATAACACTGTATAACGTATTGTTGGTTGCGGCCTCCAATGGCTTTGCTATTGCGACAGTACTACGAGAGATAACGTTCGACGAGGGCAGAGCGAGGGTAAACTGTGGTGTTTCCTCAACAGTTAAAATTACCTGTTTCACTGGAATATCATGAGGACCACCTTCGCGGCAATTGTTCATCCGTTGCTGTTATCATTTCCGAATCGGTGCCTACCCGCTATGCTATACTGCCCCTATACGAATTACAACGCTGACTAGGAAAGAGGATGGCAACGAGTTTTCAGCGAGCGCGCTGCTAATCATCTGTCTTCATTTGATGCGCGGAAACGTTATGAACTCGCAGTTAAACACTGAACTGAGCAAAAGCTGCTCTATGCAACAAGCGAGAGAATGTGGGAACCAAAAGAAAATTTAAATCTGCTACCTTCTATTTCATCTAGAAACGATTAACACGCCATTTGTAGCTAGCTAAAATTTAATATATTTTTTCAATGCAATAAGGGAATGTACGTCACGCACAACGTCCGGCTCTGACACGCATACTACTCAAATCTCTCATACATTATGAAATCAAGACACGTTTTTTTTTTTATCAACATTATTGAAATGTTACTTTATTTATTCTATTTGTATTCAATCCAACAAAATATTTCCATTATAATAATAATTATTATATTTGAGGAATTCATCACGTTCGACGTAATTCTTCCCTCTGTGCACCTCACCTCTTCAAGCAAATGATTTTACATAATTCAAAAGAGTATATTATATATTATTGTTATATATCGTTATCTTCTTCTCTTAGTCGCCGTATTCTCATATATAGTATCGTTTGTTACACATACAATTGTTCACGTTTGCTCATCTGGAAATATTTGTACAAAAAAGTAAGAAACCCAAGAGTCAAGCACGGAACATTGTTTGTGGCCGTTTCTGTTGCAGAAAATTTGTTCAAATAACAGTCCCTATTTCTTTTAACCTTTCCAATCAGCAAACGGGTAGATTCAAAGAAATGCGCCAATTTTTTTCGCTGCAGCTTTGCTCTTACCACTGAAAGCTATCCGCCAGCGAAACAAAGATACACGTTAACGTTACGGACGAACAAAAAGCACATTGTTGAAAAATTAATGCTCTGTAGCTAGCTTCGGTAGAAAAAATCGTTGACAACTCAGGATTAGGCTTGCAGGGTCACTCTGCGGATGCGCATTTCGTCTAGGAAAATGGGAAGGACAGCGAGCGAGAGGGGAAGGCTCACGCCAAACAATGAATGCACAACCAGCTACGCTACAAACTATTGAGCTTCACCAGCGGATCAACCAGCAAAGCAAAGTATATTCAATGTGCGCAAAAAGTCGCGTCCACTGAGAACTTCGGGAGGGTCGATATGAACAGTTTCCGGCGATGAGCCGGTCCTCGAACTCCCAGACAATTCTATCTTGCGTGAAATACATCGTTTGCTAGTCATCTATCTTGTTTTTTTTATTCAAAGCATGAAATGTAGGCTAGCAACAGTGATACACACAAACGCAGGCTTTTGTACAAAGCCAAATATCCGCCTTTCTCTCCCCTCCCTTAATGTTGCTGGGAGAAAACTGTAACGCCAGGATTTCAACCTGTTGGTTACTTCCCAGATCCGAAGACTATCGCATCATCATCATCATCATTATGAGATCAAGAATCTGCATTGTCATTACCTCTCGTAATATTTCTCGGTCTTTTCATACTTCATGTGCTTCAATTCCTCTGAAGCATTAAACATAAAATATCAAATACTGTCGACTTTTGCTCAATTAGTTGTCTTTGTCCTCATCGTTGTCCTTCTTAGCCATTTGTCGCAGTTAGCATATTATAGATATAGCTGGGTATCAGTATGCTTTATTTCGTTTAGCATACCCAAAAATGCACCGTTGTTGGGTTATGGCGGTGTTGTTTATTATCGTCACAGGAATTCACTTGATATTCACTAAGAAACAGCAATGACCAGCTCGTATTCACTGACCTTAAAAATGACAGGAGACGCCAAATAACTAATGACGTATAGCACAATGTGCGCCTATGAAATCGCGCAAATAGCAAATTCGCGTAGATAACGTGAGCACAGCTAAAACGTTTTCGGAGCCTTCTCCTGATTGCAGCGCCCGCCGTCAACCACAACAATATCGTCCCGGCTTACATTCTGTTTACTCTTTATCTGTTCGTCTACTCTATTCAGGTTTAGAATATATCACAACATTTGTCGTTTTGATCTGGTAAGTTGCTACGTTCGTTCGTAAATGATTACAATAAATTAATTATTAATAGCAATCATAAAGTTCTGCTTATGAAACGTAAAAAGATCTCGCTTCTTCAACCCATCAAAACGTACTGGTTCATGGTACGCTTGACGAATTGAGATCGTCAGTCGTCTACGTCCACGAATTGCGTCGTTTAGACGTTTCAGTATTTTGAAGATTTCTAATCCATACAAAATCGCTCAGTACACATCTCTTTCGTATACCATCGTGGACACACGTACTTCACGTACACGATCTTGCACCCACTTTTCTTCTCTCAATTTTCTATTTCCTGTGTTTATTAAACCTGTTCTTTTTCGTATCGTATAGCTTCTTTTGAAGTTATCCTGGTCTCTTTTTCCACTTTCTGGCGTTGTGGAGGCGTGCCGTAGGATGTAAACATGATTAAATATAAAGTATATTAACATCGTAATGGGTGGGATTTCGAATGAAGTACTTGAGGTAATCAAACTGAAATAGGTCTTCCGAGAAGGCTCTGCACCTGCTACAAAGACGTCGTTTCTATTTATAGAAAATCATCATCGCAAGTACTTGTCGGATACGCTGACTGTCTGTCTGTCTGTCTGTCTGTCTCGGTTTGCGTGCGTTTTAGTGCCATTCGAAGTTCCACGAGGTCTCGCCAGACGTTCTATACACAAATATACAAACGGGAATATAAATGTATACATAATTTGCGTTATCTCTTTACAAGAACTGTATAAGTGCGTCGATCTCTCATTGCTATTAATACGGTTATAGGACTAAATCTTCTATTCGTGTCCCTAATCGTTGCATGTTTTTCATATCAAACAATATAGTCTCAGAGACAGTTAATCTTTTGCTGCCTTCTTGTGTTCGGATGCCAGTTAATTTTGATGTCTATATCAGCGTAGCTCTGTTGTTGCATGTCACTCTGCACTTTGCGCAAACGAGACGGCGCAATTTTATGACGATATTGCCAATTTTTCCGTTCGACGAAATGTACAACTTGGAGAAAAACACACTCATTTCTAAATTGTACAGGTGTTGTAACGATATAAGTGTTAACGGCGTAGATGAATTTACGAAAGCTGTAGTATCAAGGCCTGCTTCCATCTTTCAGGAGTATACCTCTTCTGCACGGGGCAATCCTAACGATCGGAAAGGTGCTGAATCGGACTGCACTCATACTTTACCAATCGTATGCGTTTGTATTCATAGTATTTGAGACGTCGATATGGGCTGGCCTTGTTTTAATGGATAGCCTTAGCACATGGAAAGATGGTGCCTCTGGTAGATGGGGTCAAGCCTGAGTCCAGCTCTAGGCCGATTGAACTTCACATGTTACTTTCACACATTCACTCACGTCAAGTTTTTATGGTATTTGCACCACCAACTTCGTATTTTTTCTAAAAAAGCACCCATTTCTTAGGTTCCTTAGATTTAGGAAGAGTTTTTCAGTTTTTTCATGTCGCTGATAATATTCATTCATTCTGCTCACTCACTCCTTTCTGTTCATTTAATAGTGGCCCACGTACGAGCTGCTACATGAAAATTTGGCACCTTGTGTATTTTGTTGTGGTATAAGTAATTTCGTTTACCCCATTTTTATATCCCAACGTATACTATGTGTGGTATTTGTATATATACGGATGCTTCCACGTTTTTTTTTTCATCTTACTTGGCGTAGAGTGACTTAATGTAGCCGGTTTTGAAGTTCTGTCGATTTGATTGAGTCTCTCCATCACCCAACTATAAACTGGCTTCATTATGTAATACTTGTTGATGTGGCAAGGACGGGCTGCAATTGTGTTTGAATATCATAAGTACATCGTCGTTCGGCATTAATAGTTACCATAATACATGCGTAGATACATTGGAATGTTACAGTAGATGTTATACATAGCTTAATAGGCTAGAGACTTAGTATACATAGGACCTCTTGAGCACAGCAGGTGTCTTAGGAAGTAGAGCAGTCCCCACTGGAATCTGAAGTAGCAGATGACGTCGAGAAAAATCAATAGCATAAAGGACAACAGCAGTGTCGTAGCAATGATTAGAGGCATTGTGAAGGCGAAATGCGGTAGCTCAACGGGACCCGGATGGTCGGGAAACGCTCCGATGATACCATCGCCGCGAGCTGTCTGAAAGACGAACTCCGCCGGATGACTGAAGCCCAACTCGTTGTACGCCTCTACAAGCACCTTGTAATAGCTTTCGGGTTTGAGCCCGGTTAACTCGACACCGATTAGATTCGTCCACGTGTCCACGATGATCTCACGTTCTCTGCTCGAGTGCGACTTACGGAACTCAGTGGGACCGTACTTCTCCACCTGGAAATAAGTAACGCGGAAGTACTGAATCTCCTTCCCGTTCGACAGGGGCATCGCCCACTGTAAATCGTAGCGTGTAGGGTATACGCTGAAATTGGCGCGCGTCAAAATTAGCGGCGCGTCCGGTACACTCTCTTCGTTCGTGTACACGGGCAGAATGTCGGACGGCGGGCCCTCGCCAACCTGCGAGCGTGCGCTAAATTTAAAATTGTACTTAGTACGTGGCATGAGACGATCGATTGTGATTGGCTTGCCCATCACTTCACCTTGTTTCTTGTCGAACGCCAATGCCTCGTCTGTCCCTTCCATCCACCATCGAATAATGTACTCGATAATTGGCATACCACCATCATCAACAGGTCGCTGGAACTCTAATGTTACTGTTGTTGCTGATACTCGAAGTACGATCGGCAATTGAGGCTTATCAGGTCGACGTGCCTGTTGGAGTCCAATACGCAGCGTGCTTTCGCCAAGCTTGTTTTTAGCCTTGCAATCATAGATACCGAAGCGGTCAGGTACGAGGTCGGTTACGGTAAGGGTGGACAGAGCGGGCGCCTCGTCCAGTGTGAAGAAGCCTGCCCGCGGACGCACCATTTGCCCACGGAACCACCACTCGACAGTGGCGTTCGGAATAGCCGAAATATGGCAGCTGAGCGTAGCGGGATTCGCATCCCATGTCATCACGGGGTTCTGACGGGCGACCAACTCTGGCGGGAAATTTACGGTCAAATGACCCACTCGCTCAACTTTGTCGGCCTTGTTCTCCGCAGAGCAGTAGTAGAGCCCGTCGTGCTGCCGACTCACGGGACGAATCATGACCTGCAACACGTTCTCGAAGCCCTCGGTGCGTCGCGTGAAGAACACCGCAGAATCCTCTGGTGACAAGGACAATAGCGCGCCCTCCTTTCGTATAGCAATATCAGGCTTAGGCTTGCCTTCGGCGCGGCATTCCAGCCGTACTTCTGATAGTGCGTCGGTTGTCTTATTCTCGAACAGGACGATCTTGGGCCGCACAATGACGTCCACCCGAATCTGCGCCACGTCCTGACCGGCAGGGTTGACGGCATGGCACGAATATTCGCCTTCGTCTTCACGTGCCACGTGCGTAATCTCGAGGACGCCTGTCTCTGGTGTCACGCGAAAACCGACCACCGACGAGAGATTGCGTCCGGGGAAATCCGTCCAGTAGTACAATGGTTGTGGATACCCATTTGCGGAACAGTGCAGCCGGCCGGCTGCGCCTTCCGTTACTTCGGCCACTTCAGGTAAATCGTTAATTTTCGGCGGCGTTAGCACGTCGACGGTAATTACCTTGCGTTGATATTTGCCAGTTGCAGTTACCATCGCTGAAACAATAAATTTGCCACGATCCTGTTGCTGTGCGTCTTTGACCTTTAGACCCGATGCAAGCACCTCGTAGCGAGGCTCGTTCCGTACTGAGATGTCGTCCTTCAACCATGTCACGGTAGGGACGGGGTTCCCTCGTACAGCACAACGGATGGTCCCTGTGAACGAAAACAGTTACCATAATCATCATCAATAAGATAGCCGTCGGTATTATACATAGCGGAACGACTCATTGTCTTATATTGCACTGTAGAATAGGGGTTATCCCAAAAAAGGATTTGCTACGCAATGCGAAGACCTACGGTTATGCGACGAAAAAGCCTGAACCAAGAACAAAGATGTAAGAGGAAGCTGCAGGCTGTTTTGTCTCTTACGAAAGTAGGAATGCAGGGAATATAATGTGATGATATTAAAAAGAGGGGAATTCCAATAATTGGATGGCTAACCTTCACCATACTTCATTCGACTTTCGTTCCTCATGGCGCACATGCACAGTTGAACAATATAACTTAGTTTCACCATTGTAGCCTTGCTCATGCGAAGTTATTTTTCTTCAGCGTTCTGTTTTCATGTTTAGGTTTAATCACCTGCCTGGTGTAGCGCGTATCCGTAAATATCCAGTATTCGCAACTTACCTTCTCTGCCGATAACGAGGTTCTGTTTGAGTGGACAGTCATCCCAGCTAATATCATGGAAAAAAGTGAGCTTTACTACGGCTCGCACCTCGTCTGTGTTGGCGTACGTAGCGACGCATGCATATTTGCCAGAGTTTTCAGGTGTTGGCTTCTCGAAAGACAAAATTAGATTCGAGCCAGAGTCGATTGTGTGGATAGCTCCAATGGCGCTGTACTCCTGAAGCTAAAATATAAGTAATGACAGGAGAAACAGAAAATTTTACTTTATTTACTTCTCCATGAGAACTCGGAACGGCAAACTCAAAATGTCCAATTTGTCCTTCATTGTTAACAGTGGTCGCATACAATCAAGACTCTACGGATAAGAACCTTCAGCACTACGTTGTGCGAAGCTTGTGCGGAAAAGCGATGCCTACCATATGATTCGGTGAAGAGCACAGAAAGAAACAAATATTGTAATATTATAAAAAATATAATAATAAAAATAATTCACTGAAATTCAAGTTGTTTTAAGTAACTGTGATAACTAACTAGAATAACTCTTTCTTGGTCATTGATTGCAATAAGGCAACCATTAACTGACCCAATACCTTATACATATGCGATATATCCGATCAATCGCACTCTGCCAAACTTTTCGGTATAACTGATAATTGCTCTTCGCAATGGCAAATATATTAAAAAAAAAAATCGGTTTGCTGAGGTGCAAAGGGGCGCAAGTTAATTACGAGTAATCGTTGTAGAATACATGCACAATCTTATCACAAGTAAAATCGGTTGACAACGCAACATTAATATACGTATATATTTATACAGCTCTCTCACTATGGGTAGCAATTTTAACATGATATCATTTCTAACTTTCCTCCCCGAGAAACCTCCCAATCGGAAGCTTCTTCTTTCAGTTTCTGGTCAGAAAATTTGCAATCAGCCCTTCTAAGTTGAATACTTTCTACATCAATTGTCGAATATTAACAAAAATAACTACAACATGAGAGTCGTACAATAGCTTTTATGTATGTTTGGCAAAACAAGTAATCAGATGCAGAGCAGAAATACTTGAAAATATACCGCACGTTGCCGCTTTGGTCTTCAATGAAAAATTTTACTTCGATCTGAAGGGTAGAGTGAATACTGATTAGCATGGCATATGGCAATTAGTATATTTTACCTGAGGCCCTATCCAGCGAAAGTTGGCATAATCTCCTTCTCCTGGACCGGCTTTACAGAATAACGCAAACCCCTGCTCGGCAGGTTGTGTGTGATTTTCGCCTTCAGGCTCGATGATTAGCCGGCCCTCTCCGCATACTCCCGGAGCAAGAGGTATCCATACGGTAGCGACGCACAGCAGTAGTGCCCTCACGAATCGTGCGATCTTCTCATATCGATGCACTCTTGATATGCCGTTCTTCATCGTTGCAAGTCAGAAGCACTACGTTAACGAGCTTTTATTCTGTCAATGCTACGGCCAATCTTTGTTGTTGTAACTCCGGGATTGCGGCGCGGCTCAGATCCAACTGCAATATTATGAACACACATCAGAAGAAGCTGTGAAAGAAAGGAGAGGGTTCCATTAAATACTGATTAAATAAGGTTGCCGTGGGAAAACGCTACGAGCACTTCTTTTTTAGTTAGCGTAATTGAAATATCAGCATCATTTTTGTTCACATAGGTACAGCTGAGGTTGCGTACACTCTTCATTACGTTAACTGACCTAGTCATAGAGCAAAACACTAAGGACGACACCTAAACACGACCGATCGACTTGGATGCGCTAACTACGCGTTTCGTTCTCGCCACAGCTCAGTGGCAATTACAAGACTTGGCATTTATTGGCAGTCACGTATCCACGACGGGTATGGACCCACCCACTATAGCCGAGACATGTCGACCAAAGCAGGCCAGTCTAGTCTTCTCATAGCCAATTTGTGCCACTAACGCCTCCTGCGTCCATGCCTTCATCGTTAAGTAACACCTCAGTCGTTACAATCATATATATAATGCATAAAGCGTATTTTATTACTATTATCATTATTTTGACTCCGATACACAGACGCACCCCTACATGCGGTTACATGCACTACTCGTACCTCTTGTACACTATAAAATCAGCATTAAGGTTTCTTCTAGCGCAGGTACGGAACAGTATTTTTTTGCAGAATTAACACCAACCAACGGTGGCGGCACAATATAAATAGTTATAGCACGCACAACGTACAACAGAAAGTAGCGTCCCGCTTCACAAAAGCGCTCTAGCCCACTGTCAAGCCAATTAGGTAACCAGCCGCGTCCATGGACGATTCACCACTGAACCGTCTACTAGCTGATCGTGGCGTCTACTTCTGATCTTCAGCTGAGTGAGTTGACGACAATTCTATGTAAATTTTATACTTTCATGCTAAAAATGTACAACTGACGGGGGTGGTTGGGTCTAGACGACAACAAACTGCAACGGGGCACCGGATATGGGGGAGAGGAGGAGAACATCAGATTTGATTCGTTCGTCGGACTGGAATAGTTCGTCGCCGCAGCGTCGAGCCGACGCTGTGGCTTAAGAGTGAGATAGCAAAATTTTAGTTACCGGAAATAATGCTTTGGGAACGGTGGTGCATCAAGATCTGTTATCGCTTCTACTAAAGCTATGGTAGCCTGTGCATAACGTCGAGAAATCTGTGGTTGCAGGTGTTTTCATGCTGTTCAACTGCTCTCACACCTGCTATAATGACCACTGAAGTATTTGTACGAAAAGGATAGCGACAACGACGTCGCCGTCGGTCGAATAGTCGGTGGCCGTTTGACGTTGATGGTAGCGTTGATAGTACTGCGGCTGCCATTCAACGCGGCTTCGCTCTTCTACCCACCCACAATGGTCACCGCGGCAACCAGGGAGTCAAGACGACACAACGCAAACAGATCACCTCATAGTCATCACGCATTGGAACGAATGTGATAGGAGAGGACACGGTGATGCCGCGTATAGAGAAATATGTCATAATAAGCAGCTAAAAAAAACCGAACAGAAACGCGTGAAGGGCTCGAGGGAATGAGTGAGTCGCACAATTTGAAGGAGTGGAATAATAGTGCACATGTACACTAACCTATAAATTATGAAGATTAAGCTGGCACGGGCAGATATTATGATTTCATGTTCACCTAGCGAATTTTGATATAAAGGATTCGATGCATTTAGTTAAGTCAATCAAACGTTAACATACACACAAACAAAGACCGCCAATCGTATCCGCAGTTATCTATTTACTCAGATTGAGCTCAACGTGAATTACATAATCGACAATTTATCAGATATCACTATCTGGAAACAGATCGATCTCTATCAATATCGAACACTTAACAATACGATGCAGCACGATATCACTGCACACGAAACGCTAGTTATAAAATCTTATGATCCACTTCTTTCACATCAAACTTCAACCGACCATAGACCGCTAGCCTAAATCACCATTTTAATATAAAAATAAACAGTATCACTGCAAGTATTTAATGGAAACTATAGACACACACAAGCGAAACACAACAAGTTCTGTGAATTATGTTAGTTCCTACTACGCAAGCGTACTGACTATGATCACCACCATAAAGAGCGACAGTGCACCCGTTATTATATATATATAGCTATCTTCCGCACATAGTTCGACTAAAATAGCTGGCCAGCTTATTGTAGAAGCTGGTGCGATCTGTACCTCTCATCAGAAATCACATTCCTTCTTTGTTCTTGGCGCCTCGATCTCCACTACGGGAGATCAGTCTATGCCCATATTTTCCGTGTTGACAACTGGGACGGTGCGTCTGCGATCCGTGGCACGAACAGCGACGACGTTTTCAGGCTGCCCGCGTTCTTCCTCGGAACGTTACGTGACGATGTGGCCGTTGCGATGTTTTTGCAGTAGGTTCCGGTCCTGTTCTGCGGCTTGATGGCCTAGGTGGGCGGTAGCCGCACAAACGAACTTCTAGCTCTCAGCCAGCGACCCGCCGGTCAAACGACCAATTATGCACCGCTCACTGCACGAGAATCGATTCCTGGCGAACGCTAGCACCACTACGAACGTCAACCCAAACTATTCTTTTTAGCTGGCATTTCCGTTGCGCGTTTTCACAGCTCTGTTGATGATTAATTCTCGATTAGCCAGGATGTTTTGGATGGTCAGTCTTCTCGATGCTTTCTATCAGGGCAGTTCACAGTACCACTAGTTGAGTGGGTGGAAGCGATTGAGGGTTGTGGGAGAAGCCGCCCACCCTGGCCGTCGCTATCGGGCATCTGATGGCGGCGATGACTGCGGCTTTCGTTAATACTGTTGGCCCCGTCGACAGCTGCCGTTGCTGAGGCAACTAGTGTTGCTGTTGGTCAGAGGAACGAACCACTCTCTGAAGCCGTTCGGTGTGTGTCTGTCTCTCTGCCTGCCTGCGGCCTGTCGATTGCACAGAAAAGTCGACGGACATTGATGGCAACGGGAATGCCACAAGGATACAGCACGGCTCTTAATGATGACGCTGATCCCTGAGCGGGACAACCAACGCCGTTACTATCCTGGCGACTGACTGTTTCGGCGGAAAAACGTCGATGTAAAAGGTAACAGGGATTAAGCAAGAGCTCTGACCAACAAGATCATAAAGTAAAATACATTGGCGCTATCGAGGAGGCTATAGGGCTAACAGCAACGAGGACGAAATTAACTATTTCGTAACAGAGAAATGATTATGTATTTTACCGTTTTCGTCGCCCTTTCCTCTTCCATAACATGCGTTGGTGTAATAGATCTGATGACGGCATAGATAGTGTGTATACGCTATCTACACACCTTTCTTCTAAGTTGGTCGGATCTAACGGGAAAATGAAAATTACTTAAATATTCAAGTGAGCATGTATATGGCCATCGGTTTAAAAAATTATTTCTAGCCCTAATTAAAAAATACAGCAAAGTCAGAGCAACGTCAATAGAAGATCATTCTGTGCAGAAACAGTAGCTATAAAAAAGAATAGATGTATTATACGTCGCGTTAGAAATTACGATAGCTATTAAAAAAGATCAAACCATTATACTTAGAGATTCATAGGAAAAGTGCCAAAAAAATGAAAACTAACGAAATTTAAGAATCTACCGAGTTATCGAAATGATCATTCTTAATATGCTTAAGCTATGAACTTTTGTTTTTTTTTTTATTTCCATGCGCGAGGAAGTGTGTGTCCACAGACCACGTACATCTTTTTAGCTATCACATGAATACGCATACCGTATATATACCACATAGTGAACGCATACCGTAGAGTGCAGTATATAAACAACTCCAATACGGCAGATATATATACCGAGTCGTTAGCTCACTCGGTTAATTAAGTATGTAGCATTACCAAAGCTTATTTGTTCATATGGCGTTTTGCTCCGTAACGAGCTTGTGCACCAGACAGAATTGAGATGATTCGTCAAAGCACCGCTCATAAAGATAGCACCCACGTGATTTGAAACGTCTACTATCTTTCCCGGTCCCTCACTTTATAATCTATGACAAATTGCCCATCAAACAGATGACCTTAAATCTCTCTCTACTCCACAAGTCCAACCGCCCGGTCGGTGCGAAGTTGCTTCTTCTGGTCGAGGCAAAATCATCGCTATCAGCTTCACGCTATCTCAGCAAGATGACAGCGAGAAAGAGGGCAAAAGGGAGAAAGACAATAAAACAAGGCTCCCAAGAAGCAATAGATCGGAACGCAGGAGGGAGAGCTGCACCGTATATAGCCAACCTGAGAGAGGGAACTAGTAGATCGCGAAGCTAGGCTGGATTAACTGAATGTGTCCATCCCTGGCGGCGAAACAGAGAGCGAGACAGCAGGCGAACTGCGCTACGACGGTTGTATCACCGGATGATCTTTAGCGGTTTGTAAGGAACGAGCAGCCGGCGAGTGCGAGCGATGCAGAAAGGAGAAAGGCAAGGTGAGGAGGATGTGAGTGAGCTGGCGCTGCTCGCTGTAAGCATGTTATCTCGCCGAGTCCCTTTGCTCGCCGTTCTGCTGGTGATGGTGCTCAGCAGATGCTGGTGCTGTGTGGTATTGTGAGAGAGGGTCGTCCTTACAGCCGCAACTGCAGGCACGAGCAGAGGCTTCCTCAGTTGCTGCGCGTTCTGTGTGACTCTATTCAACTGCCTCGGTTGATTTGGCTAGCCAGCAATGTGCGCTGTGGCCAATGGTGATGTGCGGTCCGTCTAGAACAGAAGACACAGATAGTCAGTATTCTATACGATTAGTGACCTGTCACTGGCAAAACAACTGAGAGTGACTGACTTCCGCATTGCTCCCGTTGGCATCAGCAGTATTATCGTAGCCCGACAGTAGCAAGCTGCAAAACGAGGATCAGTGGTCCCGGGAATACACGCAGGCAAGCGGGCAGCGGTAGACTTCTCGAGATAGCCTCGGTAAGAGTAGTTCTAGGGAGAGCAGGTAAGCAACCAGGCTGGCTGCCTGGCAAGCCTGCAGATAAACAGCGGCATACTGATTTTTACTATAGACTACACAATACGGTTATTACGACTGGATGACGTCGGGAGAAGCGGCACAATCCATGTGAGCTCCAGGGAAGCACAATTTGGAAAGCTCAAGTTCATGGCGTTGGGCCGACAACAAAAACACAGGTGAGGCTACTGCCTGCCTGTCGGGTCTCCGCTCTTGCTGCGTATGAAGGTTGCGGCTGTTCAGAGACGAGAACAAGAGCGAAGTCGAAACGGTAAAGTGACAACGCCGATGGACTGACGTGTCTTTAATATCAAAAACAGCTGAGAGCAGAAAAACGAAAAGTGACCACTGTCCAGATTTATCACTGGAGAGTTCTGTTGACGCTGTGTGTGCGTGCCTGCGTTTTTCCAAACCATGTTTATGTTTTGTGTCTTGCCGGCGCCAGCTAAGTCCTTAGTTTCGTGAGTTTAATCGCGTGCCAGCATGAAATGATGACAACATGAAGCAGCATTAATAGTCGTAACCAACGAGTTAATAATAACTTGAGCGTGAGTCGAGATTTCAACGTAGTCTAGAGAATACCGCCCATAATAGCAGGCGAACAGGCAATTACGGATCCAGATCTCGACTGCGTGCTCCGTGTTCGCTATCCCCTCCATCGACAACGTGTGCTCTGTGTGATTGATGTGATAGCGCCCATTGGAATGCATTGCGTTGAATAGCAACAACGATTGTAGTACAACGGCTTTGGGAATTCATTTCGGTTTTTCGCCCCGGTAAAATTCTGTCTGTATCTATCGGTTGATTTTCGTAACTTTTCTACAGCCTACACATTCTTCCTCTGTGGATATAATTGTGCCTGATTTTTACTTACTCGTCAATAAATCTATGTGCCTATACACTTTCGTGCTTGATACGACCGAAATTAACGATTTTGGATTATGCGACTGGATGTTTATACGAACTGCTTATACTACATATTATTATCGATTACCTCAGTACGTCGTATATGTGCGGTGACTGATTTTCTTGTACGTGTGTTCGTCTTCTTTATTGGTTATTGTAGCGAATAGAAGCAATAACAGCAACCCCGTCGTCGTTAACAAGTTGTCGTGTGTGATCCACAGTATAGTTGAAGATTTATGTCTATTTCTACCAATTTCTTAGCGTCTCGTTTATCATCGACCGTTTTCGGACGATCAACATCATTGTCAGGTAAGTAGATAAACATAAGTATGATACGTCGATTGCGAACCAGTTGTATCCAACTGCATGCAGTCACTCCGGCAGCGACGGCTCCAAATGAAACATCTAGTTCTATATAGGATATTTGCACAGCTAGTAGAACGACACTGACAGTTCGTTTGTGAAGACTCGTTGTTACTACCATTGGATCCTCGCTGACTAGCTCGTCAAACGGTATTCTGCCATGCTTTGTAATGGCACGATTGCAGAAACCTGTCAAGTGAAGGACGCCGTGATGACACACAATAAGTAACGTTCTTCAGTGTGTTATTAAATCTTATGTAACTGCGCACCGTTTACTATGCATGCGAAAAGCATATCGCTCGATTTTCTCATAATTTTTTCAAGACAGTGACATCGAATAGTATTTTTCTTTCATACAACGTTTCTTTGTTTTGCTTACGCAGAATAGTAGAAGTATTTCTGTCGTTCATCGATGATTGTTCTTCGTTCATCATGCAACGATCGATGTCGTTGCAAGGTCAACAGCGCTAGCGGAAACAGCGATGCCAGCGGCGAGAATCCAACCCGCAGCATTGTATAATGCAGTATTGCATGGCGGTTCCATTTCCTAGCCGTACACAGGTCGATTCTTCTGTCCCAGCCTCCTACTGTTCCATACCGTCCCAGCACCAGTACCACTACAATCACCACCCCCTAAACCTGCACAAGTGGCAGTATTTCACCCCGAGCTTGCCACTCCCGGGTCTAAAAAGGGGTTGGAATAGAGAAGGTGCAACGTATGCGAGCACCTTGTCTCTCTGCCTTGCTCCCGTCGTGTCAGATCTAAGACACAGTGTTTGTGATTGCGCTGATACGCGTATAGTGCGGCTTAGTATCTACTATAATGCCGATCGGTTACGTCTGCAGAACGCGTAGCGCTGATTATTATTTCTAGCGGTCGGTGTGGCATAGAGTAAAGAAGGCATTATGGAAGGGACCTGACTGTTGCCGCGACAACCTGGCAGTCTTTTGCATCTGGGAGTGAATGTAGCACGATATCAGATATGGGTGTCGTTGCTGATATCATTGCAGGGGTCAGTGAGCGAGCAAGACGGTCCACATGAGAAATGACCAAGCCATCAAAATGACAATATAGACAATTCATTCATAGTCGTTAGTAGAGTAGTCCTCGTTGTCGTTCTATGATTAGCTGCTCTTTACTACCGATTCTGCGCTATAATTTTACTACTGGCCAGATTATGCGGATATTACATTGTAGCAGAGATGTTACTGTCGTAATATGTTTTGATCGTTCAGGTCATTGATCATAGTTGGTTTAGCGTCCTGAAAAATGAAGTGGTGACCGAGTCAGCGGAAGGAAAAAAGGCAAAGTAAGCGATTTGTAATATGTCAAACGGATGGTTTCAATAGCTTAGATAGCACTTGCTTCATCTGATGTTCTGTCTAACGATGGTTCCGGATGTAACTTGTTTAAATGGTAGTGTCTGACCCCAGTTCCTTGTGGGGGAGCGGTAACAATGATTGTTGCCCAGCGTACGTATGCACGAGTATATCGTTTTGTGTGTATGAATGTCATAGTTTCCTTGACGGGTTGTCATCCAGTGGTTTGGCCGACGACGAAATTTCGAGCCGCTACGCGGCCTCCGCTCCGTCAGCTTCTTAGTATAAATCAACGGACAGACAGACACGCGCGCAGAGCCAGTCTACCGGATCGTAGGCTAATTGCCGCCGATACCGTTCTACCAAGGAGGAATCATTTCGTGCTACGGCGCCATTCGACTTATTGGTATTGAGTCAACAACAATAATAAGAAATCAGTATTTACAATAACGGCGGTCTCAGCGATGAATTCCGCTTCGTTTCTTCACTCGAGTCAATTCCGAACGATTCGAGACTGCAATTCTATCGAGATCTACCTCTTTGGGATTGTTCGTTACGTCTGTCTATCTCTGACGATGGCAATAGTCCACGGTGTGTATTACCGCTGCTACAACTGCTGACTTACGTTCTTGCCGTCGACATGGAGCCCAGTGAGGGCTAAGACTGATCCCATCCTCCTCTTCCTGAGTTTGGTGCTGCCTCGTCAACCTACAACCGCAGTTGCCGCCGCGGCTGTTGTTGGTGTTTGCCATGTCGGTGTAGCAGTTACTGGCCGGGTTTCTACTGCTACTTTTGCAGCTGCAGCTGATCGCTTCTCTATTCATTTGCGGGCTCATGCGTCTACCGACGCTTTTTCTGTCTCTTTTTTCTGGAATAAGTTGTTGTCGTTACGTAGCGGAGAAACATCAACAACCAGAAAGAAGACCACGGCGAAAGCAGGAGTCTAACCGCTGCCCGCGCTGTCTATCGATAGCTCCACCAACGCCACGACGGACGACGAACCATCAACGATCAGACAGACATAGCCAGAGAAAGCGACCGGTATCTCTCAAAGTAAATAGTGCAAAAACTTACAGTACAGGCTGTTGTTATTGTCGCTGCTGTTGCTATAGCATCTCGGCCGGACCGACTAGCGCATAGGAGGCAGACCATCAACGCCATGATGATGTGTGACGACAGCAACGCCAACAACGGCTATGTAAGCAACGAACTAGACATGCAGGAGCTACGATACTAGTTGAGCACGCACGAGATTCGCGACTTGCAGTTCATCGTTCGAAGGCAAACGCGGCTTTTTTCTCGCCTTTCTCTTCTTCGTCGTTTATGTGATGACGACCGGTTCTGACTTCCAATCCTATCGTTCGTCGACCGACCGACCGGCCGACCAGGGACTGGCAGGCACCTGACCGGCGCTGGGCGCGAGCAACAGAAAGCGTCAAACCGCCCGTGGTCGGCGGTTTTCGTGTTAGTCAGGATCTTCTCCGGCGTAATCGCCGTGAAATTTTTCATACTCCTCGTCCTACCGTCAAATCCACACCTAGCTGCATTTATGCAGCGGCCGTGCGGTCACTTTTGCACTTGCTTTCCCCATCCATTTATTCGCTGCTTCCCTTGTTCATTCATCCATCTGTCCGTTTCTGCATCCCCTGTCTACCAACCACTCCGTCGGTCATCGGGTCCTCACTCATAGATATCCACGCATGTCCCCACAGAAACAGAAACATGCATTCACATACAATGCAATCAATGGAGGAGCGGCCTAACACATAACAACAAAGAGAGCGTAACACTTTCTATCGATTCGGCCTCCGTTGGCCCATCGGCCTAATGGTACTTCTCATGTTGGTCGGAAAAAAAAATGAACGAAAAAAGTTAGCTAACGAGAACAACAGCCATCGAATGACGACGTCGGCAAGAGAAGCAAAGAACCGTATTGTCTTTCAGTCCAACTCGATCACTTTGATTAGCTGTTTTATTACCATAAAAACTAGCACCACTATAACTATAAACTACAACGACGAACATCTAATACGGGTCCAATGGGTGGTGTTTTTTTGTTCTAATTGCCCGACTCATTTGCTAGTTAGTTGAGTTGTATAATGTAAAGGTGTGTTATTTTGTAAACAGTCAGCCTGTGCTCGCAAACGACTCCATAAGAAATCGTGATTATGACGAATGGAGAAAACGTGCCACACATGTTTTGACAAGCTGACAAGAATAAGCAAACAAGCAAGCGAACAGACACATTGACCTTTTGCCTGCGCCCCCTTTTTGGTAATAAGAACAACGAATAAGATTATCAATTTCTTGGCGTATGCGCTTTCATGAATGCTATATCTCAAGCTTTCAGTAGACGAGCAGCTATAGTTAAAACAATGTTGCTGCATAAGCACTGTAACAGGCTTTCAGTAAACAGATAAAAAACGTAACAGGTGAAGTTGGCCAAATGAAAACGAGCTACCGGCTATTAGTTAAGGTGTACGTGCAGCACGAGGTGCCAATGACCGTGAGCTATGTCACGAGTACAGGCTAGCAAAGACACTAAAAATGTAACGATTCGCTTTTCCATGTAGTTTCGTAGCCATAGTTGAACACAGCTCGCTGAAATTTGTCCTGGAAAAGAGCACGACACCCTATAGATAGACTTATGCACCGCTTATTTTAGAAAGGACATCATAAGCTAGGGGAGAGGCACAGCTAGGGCTCAACCACTCATATTTGTTTTTTTCTCTCACGTGTTTCCCGAAAGAAAGCTTATTCAATCCTGATCCTCAACTTCATATGCTCTCTCCAAGCCTCGATAGGAAAGAATGTCCATCTTTTAAATATAATGTGCTTGTTAATTAGGCTCATGTTTAGAACAAAGATGTTAGCTAGCTCAATGTCACGCCTGCGTACTATATGGAGCATACGAGTATATCTGTAGCATTCCTGCAACAGCAGAATTGCATTGATCTTACATTAATACATGGCGTTTCGTTTCAACTTAGTGTATAGTATAATGAGCACATGGTTAGGTTTAAATATATTTTTCTATTTGAATTAGCTGGATTTTGCAATCACTAGCTATTGTTCTTTTAAAGTTTCCCGCCTTTATCGGAACGCAAACATAGCTATGTTTGCGTTGGTTGAGGTAAAGCGCCACGCGAAAAATGTAGGGAGTAGCTGTTTTTAATGTAGCTTAGAAGCTAAGTCCAACATTGAGATTGTAGTCGACGTTCAAGTCACACCTGACTCAAAAACAGGTCAATAAATGTTCACTTCGTCTTCATTTGCGTCTTTCATTATGACAATTAACCGAGAGCATTTGTAAAGGTCACCGAGTACAAGTTACGCAGGCACGATAAGGCCAAAGAAGCTGATATAACTGCCTGTAATCGTCATAGTTCTTAACGTACATATGCTGTATGAAAAAGGTCAGAGGCTGTCTTTAGCTGGAAATGCGAGAAACTAAAACAGTCGTTTCGACATTTCTTAAGCATTACGACAGTGCTTATTGTTTTATCGTCAAGTCGTCATGGCGGTTCAGTGCTATACGAGACGGGTAAAAATCTATAACTGACATGCTGTGAAGACATTTGCATAATCCAGCAGTAACCTGAGCGAGCTTAACCTTTGCCGAGTGA